AGATTCTTACTGTTCATCGTTCCTGTTTTAGAAAAAAAAATTAAAAAAAAAAAATAAATTTCATTGTGCGCACTGTTCATCGCGAACTGTTCTGGTCTTGTTCCATAATAAAAAAAAATAATTGTGCACTGTTCATCGTTGTTACTGTTCATTGCGCCTGTTTTCGTCGTTGACATGTGCTGCTTCGACTTCATCGTTGCCCATCTTCTTTCTCATTCCATCGTGTTAAGGAAGAAGACATTAGTTTTAATTCTTTCACCCCTCCAGAATTATAAAAACCTCTTCAGAAGTTCTCGAAAATTACAGAATCACCCTAAAAATTTTAATAAATTATAGAAATATCATCCAGAAATTCCAGTATTACAAAAACGTCCCAACAGTTTAATTTGATGATAACCTGCTGCATGTCTGGTGCTTGAGTTCATCTGATACTGCTTGGTTGTTGGTCCCTAGCCATTTTTCGGGTTTCTTCGATATTCTTCTTCTGTATGTCTCTTTGGTGGCTTTCAGATTCTAAGATCAAAACTAGCATCAGTTCTCAGTCCGGAAAAGGATTGGTTCCTCACTTCGATAGCGCCTATCGGTGCTTAGTTATATCAATCTGGAATGAATTACCCAATTAATATCAATCCCATGACATGTTTTATATTGTTTTTAGTTGAACGGGTCAGAGTGTTCGGGCCAATTTACGTACATCTCAACTAATTTCCTCTTCAGTCCGCTCAAAGGAAGGTCATCTACGCTGGAACTAAAGTATTTATTAATCATATAATCCTGGAATTGCATCCCCAAACATCTTCTACCCGAATGTTATGATGCAGTTGCTTGTATAAACCACCAAATTTTGCTCTAGGGTGGGGCTATTTTCATCCCTTAAAAATCTCATTTCTCACCTCATTTAATAATCTTATTTTAAACTATTAAGTTTATCTTACCTATACTCATGTTATTAGTTACTAAATTTACGTCGTCCATATTCACAAATTAAAAGTAAAATTTATTCAATTTTATTTCAACCAATTATATAGACAATAATTAAAATTTTATTTCGGTACGAAAATATTTTAGAAACAGAATAAAAATTAATAATTATTATTAAAATATTACTCAAAATATCTTAAAATACTTCAAAATATTCTAAAGATATGGGTGAAAATATATCAAAATATCTTAAAATAATATAAATCATTTTGAAACATTAAAATTTTTATTTTAATTATTATTTTTATTTCGGTTTCTTTAATATATATTTAATAGTTTATTTGAATAGGTATAAATAAGGTGAATTTANATTTTAATTATTATTTTAATTTCGGTTTCTTTAATATATATTTAATAGTTTATTTGAATAGGTATAAATAAGGTGAATTTAATAACTAATGAAATAGGTATAAATGAAATAAATTTAATAATTTGAAATAAAATAATTAAATAAGGTGAAAAAAAAATATTTGAGGGAAAAAACATAAAGTCAAACCGGAGATGCCAGATTTTGTGTATCTCCTAGTTGTGACAACTCTGCGCCTTTTTTCTGAGCCATTATAGGCTTTGGGGAAAGCACAATGCCCACTCATAGTTGACTATATTNTCTAGTTGTGACAACTCTGCACCTTTTTTCTGAGCCATTATAGGCTTTGGGGAAAGCACAATGCCCACTCATAGTTGACCATATTTTGGGTGCTCTGCATGGTACGAAGAAAGTACAATTCTAGTCTCGTCTGTAACACGAACACTGCATTGACAAAAATTTGTAAATGACATAGAGAATTAACACGAATTATAAATATATTTATTAAATGTTAAATAATTTTCACTGCTTGATTTAGTTAATATTAAATTATTATTTTTATTTAGTTTTGTTAAAATGTATAGAAAAAAATAATAATTTACAAGAGACAGGTGAGATTTGATTGAGAACCAGGTATTGATAGAAACAGTGAATTGGGTCTATTGATAGAAACGGACTTTTCTACCTTGGGTGTTAAAATATAATTTTTAATTATATTATTAAAAGTTAGTTAAAATTAGTTGAAATAGTTAATTATAATAGAAAGCGTGGTAGGAGTGAATTTATATAAATAATTAATTAAAATAGATAATGTAATATTTAAATATATTTTGAATAACTATTTTGGATAGTTGGATTAGAGTTGCTCTAAAACTTTGGAAGAAACATGTGATGGCAAGGGTTTCAAGAATAAATGGTGATATCTCATGCTCAAAGATTAGTGCTAGTCCCACTTGACCACTTGACATGGATTGTGGTGAGCCTGTTTGAAAGCCATGCTCTTTGCTTTATCGTCTGCATCCCAAATCCAAAAAGAGTGATGGAAGAAACACTTCCATATATCCACAAGAAGATTTAGGTATTATTATCTGGTCATTTCAATGGTGCAAACTATTAGATCAGTACAGCAAGCATCACCATCTTTTGTTGGTTTAACACATATGGGTGCACTAATCATTATCGTCTGCAAATTGGGCTTCAACTTGCTTTCTACATTATCGACTCAATGGTGCAAAGCTCGAAGTTGTGTTTTGGAGAGGTTTAATTTTTGAACTTGAATATGAGACTCAACATTTGTATAGAAGAATACTTAACTTTGTTTTAAATTCGACCTCTTCATATTAAGTTTGAACAAAAATCCGTGTCATTTTACTTGGACTCATAAGCATTGGACGTATCTTCAACTCGGACCTATTAGTTTTGGATTTAATTATGGTACCGAAAAAGTTTTTTCAGTACTATACCTCTATTTATCACATTTTTGTTTAGTTTTGTTATATTTGTAGATATTTTTATCACTATTCTGGTACTCAAAAAATGATAAAAATAATCACCACAAATGTTATAAAAATACCCACAAATGTGATAAATCACTCAAAAAAGTGACAATTTTTTTGTACCTAAAAAAATAGTAAAAATAGTTACCACAAATGTAATAAAAACGCCCACAAAATTGGTAAAAATGCCTATAAAAATAATAATTTTTATTATTTTTAAAATGATTCACAAAAGTTATAAAAATAATTTTTAAAATAATAAATTTTGAAGGTACAGTACCCAAATTTTTTTGGTGATGTCATAGTCAAATCCATTAGTTTTAGATTGAGTTGAGAAAGATAGTACTTTCACTTGGATTTCAACACACTCTCTTTTGTATAATGTTGGCCTTTTGACTTCTGTGTGAACAGTGGTACTACTTTTCCAGGTCTTGAAAGTGCAGGCTTATTCATATCACCATTTCATTGAATTCTCACACCATTCTGACATTTATCCAAAATAGTTTTTCCCTTCCTTTTTCTGGAGGAACCGAAGAAGCTCCTTTCCTCATGTGTCTTGTCATATGACTGGCTTACTCTTTGTTAGTACAACTCAAAACATGCCCGTCAGATTTGCGCCATTGACTGGCAGCTCTGGTTGGCCAACCCGATGCCGAGCCTTACCTCTGCGCCGGAGAAGACTACATCGCCGAATTTTTTTTTGATAATTTTATAAGTCCCATGGCTGAAGATACAAATTTTTAGATTTACTTACATAACTTTTTTTAAAAAAAAATTATTCATCAAATTACAACTTTTATAAGTTATTTATAATTTTTGTGGGTCATTTGAGATTAATCTTAAAAATTTAGGATCGATTACAAGTGACTCAAAATTTTAAATGACCCATAAAAATTATGAATGACCTTCAACTATTGTGATTGATCCTTAAAACTTGTAAATGACCTTCAAATATGTAAACTATCTTTAAAAGTTATAAAAATAAACTACAAACTTGTGAAAAAATAATTTTTCCGTACTGTAGAGTTCTATCTCTAGGATACACTAATATGATATGTAGATTTATCTAATATAACACCAAGCTCTCAAGA